GCTTGAGTTTGCCGCACGCAATGGTTCCAATGCGATGGGAACCACAGCTGTAGTAGCGTTCGGATCTGCAGTCCAAACAAAGTTTGGGTTCAGGCTGTTGCAAACACATGTTCTACGTTTCAAGGTTATTCTTCAACATAGCAAGGACTAAAGGGTTAAAAGCCTCTCACAGCATCCTACTAAAGAGCCAGCTGAGATTTAGGATTCATGGGAGCCTTTGAAACAGGCAGATACCCGAAAGGTCCGGTGCTTGTTTTCACGGCCTCCAAAACCCTGCCCCCCTTACGTCAACTCGATATCGCATGAAACTGGGCGCGCGCCCTAAAGCTTAAACCCTAAACCTTGGGTACTGCCCCCCCTCAGTAACCGTTGGATAATATTTATAATATGGTTATATATAGCCCTTAATAGGACCCCTACTGGGTGGGGGCAGTACCCAACCTAAACCCTATACTCAGGGAAGGACGCAAGGGAGCCAGCAAAATCACGGAGCCACACACTGAAACGTCAGTTAAAGTTATTCATGCTTTGGTGGAGGTTCCCCCGCCTTTAAGTTTAATCCACATGACTCCTATGGGCGTTTCCACAACTAAAAGTCCCTAGAAAAGGGACTATAGCATTTGCGGGTCGATCTTGGGGTCCCTCCAATTTATGGAAGCTGCCATCTGTTTCCTGGCTCTCATGAATAATAAGGGGATTTTAGTAACCCCAACCCCCAAAATTAGGACCCTATAACCATCATATGATAGTCATAGGGTCCTAATTTGGGGGGGTTGGGGTTACCAAAATCCCCTTAGTAATGAAGAGTCTACACCAGCTTGACACAGCTGCCTTGCAGTTTTCATGGCCATACTCACCTAAAGGGTTTGGGGTTTAGGTCAAATCTGGTACCCCAGTATCTGCAACCTCTAGACCTTTACAACTTCAGCCCGAAACCAACCAAAGCAAGCAGTTTTCAAAATTTGGACTGCAGATTCTGGCCGTAGGACCTTATCTTTGTCGCTTCGCAGGCTGTCTTTCTGAGACAGGTGATAGGGTTTAGAATTCAGGGTTTCATTTATGAGTGCGGAGCTTAGCCAGCACAGCTTATTGGTGGTTCATAGCGTTTGGTCGAAGATTTTGGGGATCCAGGCCTAAGGGTCCAAGTACTTAATAATCATATACTTACCCAAAGCCTGTACTATAATTACTATTACCCTAAATCCAAGTACCTAATTATTGGGTACTTGGACCCTTTGGGTAGGCTACTAACTTTCGTTCCGATACATCGGCCAGTCATTGGTGGCAGCTTGTCCCTGAAAGTCTGAATTGCTCCTGACCCTGCCGACATGGGCTATAGTCTAAACTCCTTACATGGGGATTATATAGGGGATTATATAGGGGACTACTCTAGGGCTTATTAAGGGGGATACTAGGAGTTTAGACAATGGCCCAAATCCTGGTCATGGTTGGGAATCTGTTTTCTTCCTTTCAGTCCTCCAGAATCCATAACTGAATGTAAGGCATGTATTTTTATGACTTCAAATGTCACCCCAATAAAAGAAGAATCAGCGTGGCATGACCTTTCATTTTACAGATTGTGCCTTTCCTCCTCCATGCAAGGGACGAGTACGTAGACGCGTCTAAATTGGTTTGCAAGATAAGGTATCCCAATGGGGAACCCAATATTCGAGAATCCGAATTTCCCTAAAGGAACCCCCAATTTTGGGAAACCCGTAACTTTGCCGCACAAGCACCGGGATGCCCATAAATCGTGCCCTGAAGCCCACAAGCCGTTTCCTCAGCTTTTGGGCAACATGCCCAACTGTCTACCCTGGGGCTCCATGTCCATAATCAATACCGACATTGTCTTTAAATAGTACCTAGATTGGGCCGTTTGAAATGGCCCAATGTAGGTAGATGTTCAGCCCTACGGCTAAATCTGAATATCCCTGAGACTGCATCTCATCGACTGAGGCTGACAGTCCCCGCCCTGCTTTGCCGCAGGCCATTAAAGTCTACGAGATGCTTGCCTTTTCTGCAACCCCTATGGGATAACTACTACTAAGCTGTGGTTAACTGGGGTTAAAGGTAGCTCTTGGATGAAGGAAGGCATGCAGGTACATGGCCAGATACCATAATTACACAGCTGCTATAAGTCACGGCCTTGCCTTGCACCCCCGAGCAGTTGCTTCCGAAAATCAGCCGCCCATCAGGTACAGTATATCCTGTGCAGGTGAGCATCGTTTGCGTGAGGACCCCGATTGAGGGAGCAACCCTGGACCCTGAACCCATATGTTGTCCAAGACCCCGAGTTCAGCATGTTCCTATATGCCTTTGCGAGGGAATGTAGATCCTCTGACCGTTAGATCCGAATTTCCAATGGCTGAATGCCGAAGATACCACGAAGCTCACAATGTGGTTTTTGCGTTTGGGGGACCAGGGCTTGGGGCTTGGGCTTAGTCTTCCAAATTTGTGGTGGCTTTGGGCAACTAGGCTATCGGTTCTTGCCGTCGCCTGACAGCCTGCTTTGCGAGTTACTGGCGGCATCATCAGCTTGTCCACTAGAGGCTGAGCGGTCTTGTCGTGATACAGGAAAATGAAACATAGGGGTCAATCCGATATGCCCCCTCGAAAAGCTGTAGTTCTTATCTAGGGGCTCCCGAAAGTGGGCCTTTCTTGGGAGATGCAAGTGGTGGGAAGTGTTGGGTTCGGAGTCCAGAGATGATGGGTCCATTGCTCTCCCTCAAGCTCTGAACTCTGCATCCTTTAACTAAACATGTGCCCTGAAGTCTAACCCTGCCCTAGGCATCCAAGAATCCCAACATAGACTCAAAACCCAAAGTAGGCATCATTCGTAAACTTGGATTCCGAGGGCTAGATCCTTGACCCTAGGCGCTAAACCCTAAAACCCCACAACCCTGAATCCTGAAACCTTGAAACCCTGAATCCTAAAGCCCCCAAACCCTGAATCCTGAACCCTAACACCTAAACTCTGAAAACCCTAAAACTCCGAGACCGGCCTTCAGTCTCCTACAGTAAAATCAGGTGGGTGGTCTCTTTGCATAGCGTCTTCATTTCATAGGGGGGGATAGATGAGGGTTTCCGTAAATTTGGGGTACCTTTTTGAGGGGTCCCGATAATAAGCCCTATAGTATACTTGGGTCTATTTTGGGTCCCCCTATTTTGGGATACCACCAGATGAGGTATGGCTTCTATCTTGGAAAGCGGATATAGAACTTCCTAGCAGCGTTGTTGAGTTTACATGTTTAGTGTCCAAGTTGGGAGACCATAAAGCTAGTCCTGCTTGCGATGTATAGGGCATAGAGGGACTGGACTGGATTATTCAGTCACAGATCGAAAGACACCAGTCAGAGAAAGCAACCTTCCCACCCCAAAGCCTCCAACCGAGTTTAGAGTACCGTCACTGGGGTTTAGAAGGTTAGGTTTGTTCAATGATGGTTTTGTTCAGTGCATATAGGGTTTCTTCGCAATGGTGGTCAGTCAGTGAGTGTATGGGTCCTGGGATCCTCGGCCGCATATAAGAAAGAAGTCCTGTCAATATTGAGACATATTGGGCAGTGCTATAAGAAGTCCAGTTTACCAGTGGCATTTATTGAGAGTACGGGCATTGGGCTTCTGCTGCTGTCATGACGAAAGCTTTTGGATACTATGCCTACTCTACCAGAGTCCTCAAACATTATAACCGCGGCTATACTTTACCAGTGATAAGGGTTTTGCATATGACTGTTTGTTCCTCAAATAACAAAGGTCTAAAGTACGTACATCTTGGAGGTTCAGGGGGACTCAGTAAGTAGGCTCGTAATGAGGATAAATGGGGGTATAACCGGGTTTATAAGGGTTACTTGTTAAGTGCCCCTGACCCTCCAAGCATCATTTTCAACTGTGTTCTGGCAACCTGGGCTTCAAGAAGGGAAACACCTTGCCCTTGAACCTTAAGCCCTAAACCCTAAACACCTTGCCCTTGAACTCTAACTTCGTCTTGCTCTTTAAAAGCACTCCTCAGACTCCCCCCCAACTAACACAGAAGCCCTGAAAGGGAGATTTACACCGATTACGACATCTAAGGGGCCTATTGGGGCTTCCATGTCAATTTGGGGGAGGGTAGGAAGTATATAAGCGAATTATGCACCGCAAAGCTTTAGGGTTCAGGGTTCTAGTGCTGACGTTGGATTGCCACGGAGGTGAGCAGTCTACACTCCTGGAAACTAACATGGAAACCCAAAAGGGGCCCTATAAAGACTACAGTCCCTCTAAAACGGGGCTATATGGGTTTCCATGTTAGTTTGGGGGAGTGTAGATTCTGTAATGTTCGCGTACACTTTGCACAATCAGCGACAAACACAAGCCTACGGATGTTGTATAGACCTCCCAAACATGGAATCTCAAAAGGACCCTACAAAGACTTCTGTCGTTTGAATGTTGTCCATGTGGAGTTCCATGTTCCAAGCAATGCAATGGCTGACAAGTGCACAGTCACTAGCCCAGAGGGTCCATGTACCCAATAATCAGGTACTTGGGATTTGGGTACCTGTAATTCTAGTACAGTTTTTGGGTAAGTATATAATCATTGGGTACTTGGACCCTTAGGGTAAATGCACTAAGTGCACTGGTGGATTTGTAGTTGAATGTTAGGCCGCTGTTCAATTCAATTGTATGTTGCTGCAGGACCCATCGAATTTCGAAGGATGTTCTTGGAAGAAGCTACTTAAGCCCAAACTCCCCTATATAACCCCCCTTTAAGGAGTGTAGACCCTAAATCCTAAATCCTACTCCAGCCCCATTTCTAAACCTAAACACCTGAAACATTCAGAGGCTCAGGGGACTAAGGTTATGGAGGCATTTACAAGCGGGCTAATACCCAAAAAGGGAACTTAGAAAGCCCAGGTATAACCTACGAACTAATTGCCCTAAAGTCTGAACTCCATATATCAAGATACCCCCCTTTAAAGGATTCCTAAGACCCACTTACTAAGTCCCCAGACTCTCAAAGTACTGAG